AGCTTGTGATTGTACGATGGGCGAAGGGACAGTAACGTCACACTTTTAACAGTGATTTCACTGCACCAATTAATTTTTTTTTAACACATGACGTCCGTGATGTATTGATCCCACCTGTATAGTTAACACATCAAACGACTACGGTACAACATATCTATGGTGAGGCTCATTTTGCTGGCCACAAATTACTCGAGCGTTTCGATTATTCCTTTGAGCCTGTGGATGGCTTGTTTGCTTTGCAATAATTTCGCAAGGGGCACAATGCCGAGCGAAAAAATTTCGAGGAGGTGTACACACACACACGACAATAATGGAGTCGCACGCGAGATTCATCCTTTTCCTTTGACGGGGCGACGGAAGTGCCCCCACACTTGTTCCTTTGCTCTCTCTCTCTTTCTCATTGTGCGTGCACGCCTGTCCCTCTCTGCCCCTCTTCTCCGGCAAAAGGTCCGAACAATGGCTGGGCTGCCACGAAGCTTTACGAGTCCATCACGGGCATCGGCGGATGAATGGGGATGTAAAAGGAGAGAGGAAATTAATTCTAACGAGATGCGAGTCCAATGATGTAATTTTTTTCTCACTTCCCAAAAGCGCGAAATTGGTCCTTTTCGGCAGCCAAAGGAAGAGCAGGCGGAAGGTAAACAAAAAAAAAACAAACAATCATGAGACGGTTTCGTGATGGAGCGGCCGATGTCAATATCCGGCGCAGTGGCAGTCCCCCCCCCTCTCTCTCTCTCTCTCCTTTGAATCGCGCCCATCAGCATCATCCTCTATCGCGGCAAATAATTCTCAATTAGCTGTAAATCGCAGCTCGCTAAGTCGTATTTATGTCGGGCGGGAGATCAACCTCCTCGGGATTTGTATATATATATATATATCGGAGCGGCGGTGGCGGTGGTGGAGAATTTATGGCTCCGATCCGTCTCAGTTTGTCCGACTGTACTCGTGGACCCCCCCCCCCTTCCTCCACCCGACTCTCGGGAGCACAGCCGCCGGCGCTCGACAAACAGCCGAGCCAATCATCCGACCGCGAACCCCCTGTCGAACCTTACCTCCCCCGGCTTGCCTTTTTTTTTTTTATTGTTCCGCAAGGACTCCCCGTTGGATTCTAGCCAAACTAATAGCCCCACCCCCTACCTCGCGCGATGCAAAAATCCGGCAGCCACCCCACGCGCGGTGATCCGTCGATACGCGTAAATAATGCCACACGTGTATCCACAAAATTAGAACAAAGTGGGCCGTGCGGAGGGAGATAAAGTAACATAAAGAGTCAAGCAACGCATTTGTACAAATGTGCGGGGACGAGAGGGAGATCAAAGAGGATCCAGGTTAATTAAAGTGCATCATCATCATTGTCGTTTCAACGCGCCTCAAACGGCTTTGATACATACCTATGTATATTTTTAGTCGCGAGGTATATCTCGTATATAATATATCGTTGTTGCAGGCTCGTGGTATATTATAATGATAGTTAAACGAGCACATGGTATATGATAATAGTCATTAGGTTGTAGTTGCTCGTGCTTTTTTATGCTGATTGTTTAAAACTAACGCGGCTTGTGTGATAATTGTTCAGCTTAGCTTATTGTTTTTACTATTAATTATCATGAGTGTGAGAGACTGTACACGCGTATATGTATCATTCGCATTGTCGATGCCAAGATTAATTTATTATCTCCCGTTTGGGGCGAGGATTGAAATTCCGCGCGATCGGTGCGTTGATGAAGTTTTACAGCCGAATGCTATGTATTTTGCAAATTTGCATGAGCTGTTAAGTAGCACGTCTATAGGGGGAGGGAAGGGAAGGAAAAAAAAAGTACCGAAAAAGTTGGAGAAAGCATCGAGTGGAAACGCTGTAATTTTGAAATAATGAGACAGCTTTTATAGAGCCGTGCACGAAACGCGAGGAATGAAGAAACAAAAAAAAACGGAAAAAAGGCGAGCGAGCGCCGAAGGAGGAGGAGGAGGAGGAAAAAGAGGGAGAGCAGCTAAAAACATACAGCGTAAGAGCGGTAGCCCGGCCGGCTGGGGATCCAAAAAATCGATAGCTGTTTGGAAAGCGGAGGAGGTTATATATATATATATACAGCATCAGCCACTTAACAGCGGGAGCTAACGGCAGCAGCTCCGTTTTCTGTTCGCATAAAAAATACGAGACGACTGCTCTCTCGCTCTGCTCTGTTTGTTCGCTAAACTGTCATAACAATCTGACCCGAGAGCAAGGCCGCAGGTCTTCCCTCCTCCCGACCCAAACGGCCCGTAGGACCCTCGGATACTATATATTACTACTCTCGTAGGTCATGCTTGCTCTTACCATCGTTGCAGGCCCACTTTTTTTCTACGTACATAAATATACATGCACTCCACGTAGGATCCAATGCTCCGCTGTTGTCTGGTCTTCCTCCTCGGGATACAAGTGCCCTTCGATCGCATACTAGAGCCTCTCGCGTTTACACGTAAGTACGTGCATACGATCCCTCTAATTATCGCACAGTCAACTGTCAGAGGCACTTCCTTGAGAGGCAACAATCGATGCAACAACGCCTCGTTTCGGTCGCACTGCGTTCTTTTTAAAAGGTTCCATTCGTCATCTTAAAATCTCCCTATTTAACTTTGAAGTGCAAAAAAAAAAAAAAAAAAAAAAAAAAAAAGCTGCGCGTTATACGATCCCCAATCGCATCGTAAATCAATGAAAGCCCCGTCGCTGCAGCCACGTAACTCTCCAACTTCCGATCCTCGAGAGTTTAATGCTAATTAAGATGTAGAAGAGAGAGAGAAAGCTGATTTAGCAAATAGGAAAAAAAAAAAAAATTATAACAACAACCACTAGTATACGATGGTAATAAATAAGTATCGTCGGTTCTGAAAGGAGAAAAAAAAAGAGTTGGCAGCATAAACGATGATCGAGACGTGAAAAAACCACATCAAGCGTATTTTATATTCCACGGAAGATGCAATACACCTCGTATTTTTTTGTATCACTATTGCTATTTTTAAATGCCTTCATGCAAATCCGAGAGGTGAGTATATATATTTTGCTATCTCCACCAGGAAGTTTAAGGAAGAAAAAAAAAAAAAAAAAAAAAGGAAACGACGATGTTACGACGCTCTGCATCGGGAATAAAACAGCGAATTCGTGTGCAAAGTAATAACGAAAGGAAATAAAGAGAGGCCAGGTAGGGTGGGTGTACGGCACAATAATCAAAAGTAAATTGCGAATACGTGAGGCTACCGTGGCCGGGACAGGAGTCGATTGTTCCGCGCCCGCCTCGGCGATGATGATTCTCTAGCCGCGTAGCGCTCCAGCGGAGGCTGGTGGTGTATAATCTAATTTGAATCCCAGGGGGTAGGGGAGTGGGGGGGGAGGTCTAATGGAACACGTATCGAGTATGATTCGGCCGAACGATTCGCATTCAATATCATCATCAACGGTGGCGGTGGCTGTGATATTCGCTCATCGCGACCGCATTGCTATGAAATGGGAAATTAGTTGTTATGAGTAAGTATAATGTAGCCGGGAGATAGAGAGAGACAACTCGAGAGCCGAATGAAAGAGCATCGGGATGAAAGGAGGGAGGAAGGGCTGCTGGTGCTCTTGGGAAGAAGAGCCGGAGAACAAGAAGAATGTATGGGGCTGTGCGTGTGAACGAGGCGTGCTTTGTACTCTGCCGCGCTCTGCTTCCCATAAAACTGAAATTATCCCCCTTCGGTGTGCCCCCTATACAACACTTTCGGCATTTCGCATCTCGTCTCTCTATTCGAGAGTCCCTGCCGACGCGAGCCCTTTATTGTTCCCCCCATATCTCTTACGTGTCGAATATTATGCTCATCGCGTCATTTGTGGTACTCCTCCTCCTCCTCTTCCACCACTATTTTATTTTTTATTTTTTCTTCGTGATGACGCTGAAACTCGGTCGATCGCATGAATTATTATTTACGCACGCCCGCTAATGTCGTGACAGTCGTGAAATTGAAAATATACTCCACAGTGCACGAGACGGACACTTGGAAAATTCTTTTTTTTTTTTTTCTCCCCTCCTCCTCCCGCTACTTTGTCCCGTCTCGTTCTTCTTTGTCGCCGGAGAATCAAATTAACAGCTCACGAAAGTTTGTTGCTAAAGCCCGCACGTTTTTGCAGTTAAATTCACGACGCCTCGGGACACGCCATAAAAGCTCTCGTAAAAATTTTACTGCTCCAAATTTTGCCTCTGCGCTTCGCAATGCGTAAAATAAGAGGAGAGGCATGTATATACCACGAGGGATAACATTTTTTTTCGGGTCGAAGAAAGAAAAGAAAAAATACCGGTATATACGTATGCAAGAAACTAAACGGCAATAAAGACAAGGGAGGAAGGAAAAAAAAAAAAAACGTCCGCAAGTTGCAGGTATAAACTTTGCCTACGTATATACTTAACATGTACACGTTCCGTCGGAAATCGCCGAGCAAGCATGTGTCGCACCTTGACGAGCCAAGAACCGAATTAGGACCAGGAGAGGGAAGAAAGAATCGTCTTTGGCTTGGAAAAATCAATCAGTCGTGCGACTGTAGCAACAAAGCCCCATCGGGAGGGCGTGAAGAAATCGAAAAATCCTCGAAAAGAGCGGATCACATCGGAGCTCCAGTTATAAACAACAGCATGCGCCTTTACTTTCGGTAGCCTTACAGCCCGAGAGCGAGTGTACTTATAAATGTAGTTCCGCGTCGTAAAACGATTTGTGGAACAATGGAGGATCACGAGAAAGGGCACCTCCTCGTGAGTTCACCCCGGATTTTTATTTCACCCGCACCGGCCATCATATCCGCCGACCGAGCTCTCATTCTTTACGACTGCTACCCCGTTCGTTTTATTACCTCATCCCTCACGAAAATACAAGAACGGCCCTTCGCGGGAGCATACCTGTGATAGACGCAGATCGACCGTAACTATTGAAACAAGGTTGATACGCTGAGCGAGGCTCGAAAAAAAAAAAAAAAAAGAGAATGTGCGTGCAAGTATTACCTTGGCTGTGCTCGCCCGCGTCGAAGGTCTTGCTCGTCATCTGGAAGAGGGCGTCGAGGGGACTACCCTGGCCGGGGGTGCGTTTGCCGTTGCTGCTCCCCGCCTGTTGCGAGCCCTTGCTCCGCTTGAGGCTCTGCTGCTGGGACGGTGAGTGGGCCTGAAGACCCGGGTGGTGGATCCCGGGGTGCAGCCCATGGTGGTGTTGGTGGTGGTGGTGGTGGTGATGCAGCAGAGGATCGGGACTGCCCGAGTCGGATACCGAGCTGCGCCCGGAGGACGAGGAGCTGCTCAGCGGGGGTTCGCTCATCGAGGCCAGGGACATGCCCATCAGGTGCTGCTGCTGCTGCTGATGGAACTGGTGCTGCAGTAGCTGCTGCTGTTGGTGATGGCGGTGCTGGAGTAGCAGGTGGGCCGGTTGGGGCAGGCTGGCCACGCGACCGGGGCTCGAGCCCAAGCAGCCACCACCGGTTTCGCTCGTTGTGTCCCAGGGCCGGACTATCTTCGCCTTGGGCCGGTGCGACAGGATATCTATGATGCTGAAACTCTTGACGCCCCGCTCGCTAGCCTCGTGCTCGCCCCGACTGTCCTCCTCCTCCTCGTCTTCCTCCTCTTCCTCGGCATCGCCCTCCTCCGAACCCGAGCCCGGGTGTACCCTGTGCTGTTGTTGTTCCTGCTGCTGCAGCATCCTCAATCGTTTCAACGGCTTGAAGTAGTCGTCCGCCCCGTTGGAGCGCGTCTGTTGTTGCTCGCCCCGTTCCTGTTCCCTCAGCCGGGTTAGCTCGGTTGCCGGGGGGGACGGGGCTCTGCGCCGTCTGTTGTTGTGGTACTGGTGGAGCTGTAGCTGCTGTTGTCTCCGCCGTCGTGCCCTGCAGTCCTCCTCGCCGTCGCGCCGTGCCCCGTCCTCGCCCGGGGCTACGAGCAGCGGCAGGGGGCTGGGGCAGCCCACCGAGATCTCGTCCTCGTCGTCCTCCTCCTCCTCCTCCTCTTCGGGGAGAGGCTGCTCCGGGCAGGTCCTCGACGCCGACGGGGACCGCTGTTGGGTGCAGCTGCCCACCGTGGCACCAACTACCACGCCACTGGTGCCCCCGCCGCTGGGCGAGGCCGTCGCGGGCGACATCGAGTACGCGGCCTCTGTCATCTCCGTACTACACATGTTTCTCTCTCTCTCTCTCTCTCTCTCTCTCTCTTCCTCACTGTCTGTATTTTCACGCTCTTTTGCCCTTTTTTAGTTTCCTTTCCTCCGGTGCGGCAACACACGCTCAGTGCTGTCCAAACTGTTCGACGCCGTCGTAGCAATATGAACAACAACACCACTCCGACACTGTTAGCCACGGACGCGAACTCATTTTCGACTGACACTATCGTTTATTTTCTTTTTTTTATTGTTTTACTGCTGTGGTGCCGGCAACTAAGTTCCTGCTCGCGGGGCCATCACTCGCGCTATAACCCACACTCCGTGTACAACACAAATATGGAGCAAGTATAGTTGCGATGGTTAAAAAATAGAAGCAATCCACGAGCGGTGGAGAGAGGCTTTTCGGTCGCGGAGGCCGCGCGCAGACAGTCAGTCCAGGCCTGTGACTCGGAGAGCTTTGACGGCGTTGGGGCTCGGGGCCGAGGAGGCCTCTCTCTGCGCCCGTCCTCCTGCCGAGGGAAGGGGAGCGACGCCCCGGAGCCGAGATCAAAGCGGGCCGCTCGGCTAATCCGATCGCCGGACTCGGGCGAGCCGGGCGTGTCCAGGTGCCAAGCTCCGCCCACCACCGGCTGCCACTCTACTTCCACCCTACTCCCCACCCCTTTTCGTTCCTATACTGCTCGGTGCTGATATGGTGATGCACGGCCAAGATGACGACGAGGACACGGTGTTACTGTACGAGGGTCTCGAGTTCGAGTCCCATCGTCGGCAGTTTTTGGAGATACCGTTGGAACTCGTTGGGATATCTACCTTACCGACGAGGCGCTCCGAACCGGGGTTCGAGTCGGATTTCTCCACTACGACTAAAACCCTTTGGCCAATGATTACAGAGCAAAGAAAAACAATTTCAAGTTGGAATGTATACTTTTGTTTAGCAAATAAAGGAAGAGTAATTTGATGCGTGCAAGAGTCATGTATTACGTATACGAGGGCTGCAGAAGCATAGCGAGAGATTGATATGGCGGTTGAGAAAAGGGGAGAGGGAGGTTGTATATGTACATTATATTGTATGTATAATGTACCAACGCGTACGTGCGACTCGCATTCGGAGGGGCTGGAGATGCCGTTGCGTGCGGCTTCGCCGGCCCCTAGCACAAAGACTCGGGAGACACTTAAATTACTATGATAGCTCGCCACTGAATTTGGCGGCGTCTTTCATCTCGACTCGTTTAGCGTGATTTTCTTCACGTTTAGGCAAGTCCCTTGGTGGTGGTGCGTCGCCATTATATACATAATATACGTTACATTACATGGGCGAACGAGCAAAGCTATGAAAAAAAAAAATGCAAAAACATTCTCGTTCCTCACGATTTTTTTTCCTCCTTCTGGCTTCAATATTTTGTTAAAACATATTTCATATGACCTCTGCGGTTGACATAGGCTTTCAAAACAAATACTCTTGTCTTCGTTAACAACCACACCAAGTTCTAATTATTTTAAACGTAATTCTTAACGGCAAAAAAAAGCGAGCCCAAGCTCTGTTTGTCAAAACAAAGTCATCAAATTGTGGAGCACGCCTCCTTGAGCTTGTACTTTATATGCGTATCCTATAAAAAAAAAAAAAAAAAAAAAAAACCCACCGCCTCGTTGGTCCTTACAAAAAGTAGATAGGTAGTACAGAGTTGAATGTAAATGTGGTAAACCTTATGCTATAGGTGCAAGCTCGGGGTTCTCCGGTCCGAGTTCCAACAAATTCAATGTACAAGACCACTCGCCGAGGGTACGAAAGTGCATTAGCGGCGATAACGTCGCGGCTCCACGGCACGTATGGTATCGAGCGCGCGATAGCAGCTCGAAAATACGTACTTATCCGGGTAATTGACGAGCGTATAGAGCCCCAGCCGAGCCGGTACGGCCGCGTCACGCGATACCAGCCCCCGTGCCTGCTTACACTTACGGCAGGGACAAATTGATCGGGTGCAGCGCCTTCGACCCTCTTTTCGTGCGCATCGGGCCAGCGGAAGAGGGATGGGAGCTGGTCACGCCCAGCCGAGTCGTGCGGGGCTCCGATTGGCCAGAGCTGGGCCGGCCCCCACGGCGATTTATTCTCAGCGATTTTTCGTCTTTTCAGCGGCTCTCCCCCCCACCCAGAAAATGCCTCGAGACCGCAGATTTACGTGGATTTGACGCGAGAGAGCGGCTTAACGACATTTTGCTTTTTTACGCGCACTCGCATCTCCTCGCCTTTTCCATTGTCTCCCCCCCCCCTCCCCCAATAGTAGTAGTACTACGTTCCGTATAGCTGGTCTGCCATCGCTTTCATCGCATGTCGTTCGGGGCTTAACTGTCGAGAATTTTGTTGCCGGGCACAAAGCGCACCTTGTGTATTGTTATTATTACGCGTACAAATTGCGTGTGACAGGCGCATCCTTCAATGCTGTCGTCTTTTAGGTTACATATACGTAGTTATGGTGGGCCAAACCCCAAGTAACGAACAGTCAACTTCTCGAGTGATGAACGGCGCCCACCTCCTCTGGAAAAAAAAAAAAAAAAAACACGCACAATTTTCAATCCGATGAGAAGTCTTACTTTGGTGCTTTAATTTAAATTACAGCCTACCTGTCTGCGTTGAATAAATTAAGCGTGTTTCGCGGTAACCTTTTCCTCATAAAATAATCACCAGCATCACTATGGTTGTGGAATAAAATACTTATGTGCCCCAACGAATTATTCATGCGTCCCGTGTGATGTGTGCCAGCGTAGCCGAGAAGAGGTTAACGTTGAAAATATTGAAATTTCTTTTTTCTATTTACGGGCTTACCTTGAGGTTTTAGCTCAATAAGTGTATCAATTATTTATGAAATGTAAATTAGACTATGTATATATGGAAAAACGAATTTTTCAATAATTTACATACTTATACCTACCTTATACTTTTTTCGTTTGTTCGAATTGCACTGCAGCCTCGCGTAACATAAATCAATTAAGACGATCACGAAAATATCAAAGGAAAATCGAATTTGAGCGAAAGTTTTAATAAGTACGATCGTACAAATCATATATAAACTAGAATGACATTTTTTTTTTTGTTACTTGGGATTTGATCTCATTATGTAGAATTTTGTAGAACCGTGTAATTTTAAACTGAAAAATCATAATTACGACTGAAAGTTTTAGGATTCATAAATTTATTTTTGATGAGTGAAAAATCAAATTATTGGACCCAATACGCGTAGAATTTTCGAAATTACATTTAGAAAGTAGTCCTACCGCCTGTTACTTCAAAAACTCAAAATTATAACTGGTATCAAGCTACACCTATACTAATGATATTTTTTCTTGTTGAAACGTGCTTTTACATCAACCAAACTGATGCATCGCTAAGTAACGGGGTTTTCAGCCCACCAATCAAAGTAAATACCAATTTCGTACATAATGTAATTTATGGTGAAATAAAAATACCCGAATCAGCAAGTATTTTAATAAAGTAGTCAGATACGTTATTCACGGTTCAATTACAATGATACAGAACACGAATGGCATTAACTTGGATTGAGATGAAAAACTGACAGGGAAAGCACTTCGGGTGCGGAAAACGGACCTCAAACAAATTTTATCGGAAGATTTCTAGGGTGATTTCAATAGCTATTTTATTGACTCAATGGGCTCTGAATTTGAATGTAGTGTTAATTTAGTCTAAGTAAATGTAATGTTAAAAGATTTTCATGTATTATTGTACAAAAAGTATAGTTACTCAAAAGAAGCTTTCATTTCAGTCTCAAGTTAAATAAATATTTTATAGCCTAGACAATTATAGTAAATTAAAGTCAAGTAGAGGAACATATTTTTCTCAATTACTGTTAAAAATGTGTAAAAAATGTCGGAAAAAATAACGAAAATGATGAAAAATCTTGCAGCGTGAAAAAGAAAATCATTACATTTAAAAAATATTATTTGCAGACGGCCCAATCGTAGAGATATTATTTATTAAAGTGTCATATTTTAGTGATTGTAGAGAAAGCAGAGCACAAAGCATGAAAATCAAATAAAATATATTATTCAGTTCCACTTTCGTTGAGACATAATTAAATGTTGTATTTTTTATCGCAAACAATAAGAAAAACCGATGGTCAGTTGTTTACGTTGTCGATACACAGTAAAAATTTTTTTAGTAAAATTACCACTCTTCTGTAGTAACTGTACCTCGTCTGACGAAGTAAATTTACACGCGGCTAGTATTAATGCTAATTTTTAAGTAAGTTCACTAAGATGGTAGTAATTTTGCTACGTCTAGAGTTGGAAATAATCCGACTAATACGTAGCGTAGTTATTTTACGACGCCGTGTAGTATAATACACAACTATTGCATTGGGTAAAATACTATTTTGTAGTTATATATTACTTGTGGAATTGTAAAAACACTATCAGCGTAGTAAAGTGAAATTCGTTGATTTCTATTGAAATTTCATTTTTGCATAATCTGCAGGCGCTGGAATAATCGAAAAAATGTCGTAGTGCTGTTTGTGTGTTGAAGCTCTGGTTTTCGTGTCAGTTTCAAATTGGTCAACTAAATTGTCGTTCCTAATGTTTAATTAAGTTATAGTTTCATGCAGCAAATAAATACAGTAAGATTGCAATGTTATTACTAGTGCACCATATGCATAATTCTGTTCCACATAACCTCGTCGTCAGCATGGCCAAAGATTGAATTATAAAATAAAAAATTAATATAAACACTGTGCAAGTATTTTCAGCACTAAATAAAAGTTTATACGTTGTAAAAGACATTATTTCATTTTTAAATAAGCCCCCTGTTTAAATTACTATAGCACTAAAAATGTAACTCATTTCAACCATTCCTAGTGTGTTCGTAGTTTTTACTACGAACGTAGTGTATTCACTGAAAAAATGAACATGTACGCCACCTGGCTGGAAAGTTACAAAACTTACAGTATTTTCTCTAATGCTGTCGTAAATGTACTATAGACAAGTTTTCTTCTTAATTATCACTATTCACG